CAGGCTGACTTCATTTCCATCTTTGTCTCCTAACTCTCCCTCATCCCGCATGACCAATCTGTTGTGACATCTTAACCTTTCTACCTTTGCAACATCTCTCCTATACGCCCCCTTCTCTCCACTGGCACCGCCACCACCCTGGTACAGGCCCTTATCATCTTACACCTAGATTAGTGCAATAATCATTGCTTGTGGGACTTTCTGCCTCAAGGCTCTCCCCACTGCAATCCATCCTCCAATCCAAAGTGATTTCCCTAACACAGAGATCTGTCCATGTCATTCCCCTATTCAATAAACTCTCATAGCCCAGTCTAACATGAAGAACACTTTACCCAACATAAAAATGGCTAACCTTTGACTCAGCAATCACACCACAAGAACTTCACCCTCAGAAGATCAAAGGCAGTGGGAAGGTTCCATTTATACCAAAATACTTACAGCAGCATTTTTTTCCAGTGGTCAACAACTGGAAACAAAGCTAGAACCATTGATTACAGAATGGCTGAACAAATTATGGTCTATGAATTTATTGTCAGTTGTTTTAGTTACATCCAACTCTATGACTCCATTTGGGGTTTTCTTGGCAGAGATACTGGAATGGTTTGCTAGTTCCATCTCCAGCTCATTTTACAGATGAGGAAACTGAGGCAAACAGGGTAAAGTGACTTGCCCAGGGTCACACAGCTAGGAAGAGTCTGAGGCTGGATTTGAACTCAGAAAGATGACTCTTCCTGATTCTAGCCCCAGTGCTCTAATCACTGTGCCACCTAGCTGCCCATGTCCATGAATAACACAGAATATTATTACGCCATGAGAAAAAAACAAACTTGAAGCATTCAAGAGAAGCATAGAACGACTCATATGAACTGACACATACCAAGAGAACAGGATATTTACAATGACTACAATTCTAAGAAAAACAGAACTAAAAGCCCTCTGAAAACAGATCAATGAAATGGCCTATGTCGGTTCCAAAAGACAAATGATAAAATATATGTCCTCCTCAATCAATCAGCAAGCAGTTATAAAGCACCTACTAAGTGCTACACTGTCCTCAGGGGGTATAAAGACAAAAATAAAACAGCCCCTATCCTTAAGAATCATTCTATGAGGTGAGATAATCAATCATTAAGCACTAATAAGGCAGCAACCACTGTGCTTGGGATGTAATGGCAGGTGTGAAGCAACCCCTACCCGCAAGGAGATAACACACACACATATAAGAATATACAAAATATACATATACAGAAAAGATTTGGAACAATTACAAGGCTATGAAAGGAGAAGATTGGCAACTCAGAAAATCAGGGAAGGCTTCATGTAGGAGGTGGCTTTGAGGGAAACTAGGAAAGAAATAGACAAGTCACAGGATCACAGAAGGGACCCTAGAGGTCAATGGGTGTAGCCCCTTTCATTTTACAGATGAAGAAACGAAGAACTAGAGAAGTGAAATGACTTGCCCAGAACTACAGGACTGGTAAATTTCTAAGTAACATATGATTCATATGCTATTAGAGAGGGACTTACTGAAGTAAGGGTAGTGAGAGATGAAGGCAATATTTCATTTAAAAGGCATGGATGTACTTTTTTTCCCTGAGGCAATGGGGGTGAAATGACTTGCCCAGGGTCACACAGCTAGTAAGTGTCAAGTGTTTGAGGTCAGATTTGAACTCAGGTCTTCCTGAATGCAGAGCCAGTGCTCTATCCAAAGCACCATCTAGCTGCCCCTGACTTACGTTTTTTTTTTAAAGAGAGAGAACATAAGAAAGTTAATGCCATACCCTCTTGGGAAAGAAGAAAGGATCTAAGTCAAACCATAACTAGTAATTCTAGCACCCGGGGCAATTACCACAAATTGTGCCTTTCAGGAAAGTAACAGGGAAGGCACTTTAAAATCAACTTTTTAAAACAAAATCACTTGGGAGGGGAAAGACCTCAAACCTCAGGATATAAGGCCATGAGGTAAAGAAGTGGGGAGGGGAAAGGAGGAAACAAAGACCGCCCACTCCCTTCACCAGACACCAAGGCCACTGCTGGGGAGGCCACCCCTGGGGAAGAGGGTACGGCTGGGCAGAGGGATGGGGCCACTGGAGGGAAGATTCACTACTTGATAACTTCCTAGCTCCTACTCATTCATTCTTGCTTATTTGGGTGCTAAGCGACGTTGTTTCTATCTGATAAAGCACGGTGCCTATCAGTACCCTGGAAATTTTGAAACCATCCAAAAAGCCTCTTATGGATCTAAGAAGCACTGGAAAAAAAGAGAAATGTGACCTCAAAAATTATGAGAGTTTCTCTACCTCTGTTGTCAAGAAAAGTGAATCAAGGTAGCGGAAGCTCCCTCCTCACGCAGCACCCCAGAACTGTGTTTAAAATTCACAGGTTCAGTGGCTAACAACTGTGTCCATGACACCTGAGGAGTTGCCCCCAGCTCAATCATTTAATCGATGGACAAGAATTTTTCAAATACCTACTACGTGCCAAGCGTTGTGCTAGGCACTGGGGGAACCTCTGAAGATTGTGAACTCAGATATCTGAGAGAAAATACTGAGAAAGGGGGCGAGGGAAAGGAACAGGAGAAGGAGCTCATATCTTTGGGTTGGTCATTAAAAGCTTGTTCCCTTAGAAGACAGGTTGAAGGTGGACACAAGGAGCGGAGCTTCCCAAAGAGCTCTCCTCAACATTAGGACCATGATGCATGAGCAGATGGTATCATTGCTCCCTAAAGGCTGAAGCAACACAGTCCAACCACCCCCTTTTACAGGGGAGGACACTGAAGCTCAACAAAACTAAGTAACTTGCCCAGTAGTACATAGGTACACCTGCATATAGCGCTTTAAATTCATTATATTATGGAGGCTTCATAGCAACCCTGTGGCATCATCATGATATCGGTAGATAGATAGATAGATAGATAAATAGATAAGATAGAGAGGTACACATACATGTGTGTATGTATATGTATACATATATGTATTTATATGGAAACCAAGGCTCAGCAAGGTCATGGGACAGAACTGAGTCTTTGATTTCTTTGCTTTGGGGAGTTCCCATTGAGGAAGCTCTCTCTACAACTTATGGTCTTATACAGTTACATAGGGGCTATTGATAGGTTAAGTGACTTGCCCAGGGTCACACAGCTCTGGGGTCAGAATTGAACCCCAGCCTTCCTGATTCTAAAGCTGGCTATCTATCTACTCTGCCGTGCCTCCTCTGTCAGATACAGAGAGGTCATAGGATCAAAGGAGACTGTGTTATCCAACTCCCCTCACTTTGCCAATGAGGAAACCAAGATAAGAGAGGGGAGCATGTGGTCACATGGCTAATAAGTAGAAGAGTTGGGATTTGGACCCAGGTTGTCTGGCTCCAAATCAAGCCTTCTCTCCAATACCTCAAAATGGTTGTCACACTTACCTATGTAGGCTCCCATCAACCCATAGTAAATTTATGTGAAAACATACCTTGGTAATATAATATAATATGTAGCATATCATATGATACAATATATGACATGATAACATAACATTAATATAGTAATATAACATGATATAATCATATATTATGTTAATATAATCATATATTTTGTTCAGTTGTATCTGACTCTTCGTGACCACATTTGGGACTTTCTTGGCAAAGATACAGGACAGGTTTGCCTTTCCTTCTCCAGCTCATTTTACAGATAAGGAAACTGAGGTAAAAAGGGTTAAGTGACTTGTCCAGGGTCACACATCTAGTAAGTGTCTGAGGACAAATTTGAACTCATGAAGATGAGTCTTCCTGACTCCAGCCAATGCTCTATCCACTGTGTTAATTTTATACTCATAGGATAATAATTTGCATTTATATAGCACTCATTATGTGTCAGGCCCTGTGCTAAATGCTTTATAAATATTATCTCATTAATCCTCACAACAACCCTGTGATGTAGGTGCTATCACTATCTCCTTTTTTTTACAGTTGAGGAAACTAAAGCAAGTTAACCTTATGGTCTTATACAGTTACATAGGGGCTATATTGGCAAAGGTTAAGTGGCTTGCCCAAGGTTATACAGCTAGCAATTTTCTGATGCTTTGTTTGAATTCAGGTCTTTGTAAGCTCCCTAAATTGCCTCAGTCATAGATTCAGAGCTGAAATGGACCTCAGAGTTCATCTAAATCCAACCAACTCATTTTACAAATGAAGAAACAAGACCAGAGAAAGGGAAGTTATTTGGCCAAGGTCATAAGGAGGAATTGAACAGCATAGCCAGGATTTGAACCTGCATCCTTTGCCTTCAGACTCTAGGCTCTGAGTCCTACCTACGATTATCTTTCCTTCTTGAGGGGGCCACTGCCACCCTCCTCTGCCAACAGCAGCAAGACCTGTTCCATGTTCCATTAATTAAGGTAAGCCAATCGACCAAAGAGAAATTGTGGACTACAGCTGAGCTAGAAGTGTATAATCAACACAAAACTTTCAGTTTCTCGTTTACTATTACTCACCTTTGCACACCAACACATAGGAAGTTAAAAAATCCCAGGAAGACCAGCCAGATTTGAACTGTTCAAAATCGTATCGAAAGCACTGTGAAGCTCGTGATTGACATCATGAATGTGTATATGCGTGGAGTCTGATTTACACACACACACACACACACACACACACGAGCTTAAAGAACAGCACATGGAAAACAGCGGAGGAACATTCAGCGAGGAAAAACATGCTGAGTAAACTGGCCCCTCAGTCACAAGATTTCATATGACAGGACACAGGAGAAAGTCCTATACACAAAGCGAGCCCCCAGTCAAAGGATCTGAAGTGAAGAGCAAAGCACAAAACAGAGGCACTAGAGGCAGGCTCAGACACGAAGCAGCAGGACACCAGAGAAAGAAGATGAGAGGGAGGCTGGTGGTCCCAACATTCCCCAATCCATCTGGGCATTAACAACCATGGATTTCTGGGGCTTTTAGGGACCATCCTGCAGAAGTTTGGAGGGTTGAGTGATAAAGATTGTCTCTCACCTGGATGTCCTTGTGCTGGTGGATAATTTCCAGATGCCTGCAAACGCACACCAAAAAAAAAAAAAAAAAAAAGATTGTATTGTATGGTAGGACAGAGGACAAAAGATAATAAAGAAGTCTTGGTAAAATTCTGGAGAAGCCCCACCCCACCCTCCATACTCTCACCCTTTTGGAAATTACCTGCTTTTCCAAAAACAAAAAAAGTATCCACGAATACCAACAGAAAAGAAACAGCAGCTTCCTCATGGTGTTCTTCCCAAAAGTTTGAAAAAAAAAGAGTCAAGCCAGATTCCAGAGAGGTGGGTTGCAGAAACCCAAGTTTGTTTCTTTCTTTAAGGAAAAAAAATGTTAATTCTCACTTCCTTGTGAAAAGGGCATCTTCATACAGGTTCAGAAAATTCATTTCCGAAGTTCTCCCGGTCCCCGTTGGTTGTCCGGAGGCATTGGATGGGTGTTTTCAGAATTCAACAACTTTCAGGAATCGATAACTGCTTTACCATGACTAGAACAGCTGAGGAATGTGGGAAGAATCAATCCAATTCCAAAATGCACAGTTCCCCAGAAACAATCCCAAAAATCTTCCTGTGCTCGGCGCCAAGAAGAGGTCTCTCTCATTCAGCATGCGATCTCTTGTCTCCTCTGCAGTGTTCAGGAGCACCCTGTCTATTCAGTTGTGGTTCTGAGTTACTCTTTAAAGAGGAGGGAATAGAGGGAAGAAATTTCTTAAGACAACTTTTTTCACAGAGTTGCTCCGGCTTTCTCCAGAGGAGTAGAATTGAAGTGATTTGCTAAGTCCTTCCCTGTCTGGCTCATGTTTGCACCTCCATCCCAGATCTCGTTGGGTGGAGAGAAAGTCTGAGTGATGTCATGTTCTCTCCTCAAACTTTGTCCCATTCTGTTTCTCTATTTATATCTTGTTGCTGCTGTCTCCTCGCTGGGTCCTAACACCAGTCTGTTAAGAACAATTGAAAATGTTTAAAGTCTCTTGGGTTCAGAAAACAGACCAGAGAGCACAATATTGGAGGGGGAGAAGGGAGGAGGCACCCTACCCCCCAGCTAGCTCACTCAAGCCAGCATAAATATTAATAAATATTTCAACTTAAAGCAAACAGGAAAATCTATTTAACTGAAAGTTTTGTTTGGCTGAAGAAAGAAATAAGGTGATACTCAGAGGGGAAAAGACCACCAAACTCATGCATCCTTCACTGACCGAAGTGTTGGCTGCAGCGTGGTACTTAACCCTTTGCCAGCTCAGGGAATTCTACTTCTGAGCTTTCTTTCCAAACCTATTATTATTAGCTCTTACATCTCACAATTCAAAGCACCTAGGAAAGTGCCAGGTATCCTGGATGTTATTTATGAGAAGACCTAGAACAAGCCCCTTAGCTCATCTGTGCCTCACTTTCCCAAAGTAAGTTCCCCAATGGTATTAGCCATTGGGGAAAGAGCCCTCTCTCTGCTAGGCTCGGGAAGACATTGGTTATATTTTCAACTCCGTAAGTTCCTAGAAGTCAGTAGGATACGATGGAAAGAGAACTGGCTCTGCAGTCAGAGGATCTGGGTTGAAATTCCACCTTTGTGGAGCTTGAGTGAGTTTGAGCAAGCCACTTAATCACTATGAGCCTCTGTTTCCTCATCTGAAAAATAAGGGGTTTGGATAGGAACTAGATGGCCTCCGAGATCTCTTCAGGTGCTTGATCTATGGAGGGCAGCTAGATGATGACATAATGGATAGAGCTCTGTAGACCTAGAGTCAGGAAGACCTGCATTCAAATCCTACCTTAAACACTTCTTAGTCAAGGAACCTCTCTGTGTCTCAGCTTCCTCTTCTGTAAAATGGGGGGGGGGGACGGGTGGGGAACAGGGTAATAATATTGCCTACTTCCCAGGATAATTTTGGGGATCAACCAAGATAAAACCTAAAGCAAATCACAGACCTTATCAGTGAACTTTGATCTTGTGACAGTCAACAAGCGTTAATAAATGGTTGATTCAATTAATAAATTGAAAGCATTAATAAAACACTAATTGTTGTTGAGTCATTTCAGTCGTGTCTGACTCTTTGAGACCTTATTTGAGGTTTTCTTGGCAAAGATACTGGACAGGTTTGCCATTTCCTTCTCCAGATCACTTTACAGATGAGGAAACTGAGGCAAACAGGGTTAAGTGACTCACCCAGGGTCACACAGCTACTAAGTCTCTGAGTCTGGATTTGCACTTGGGAAGATGAATCTTTCTGACTCCAGGTCCAATGCCCTAGGCATTATGGCTCCACCCAGCTGCCCATAAATACCTACTCCTATGTGCCAAGAAAAAATGCAAAGATACAAGTGAACTGTGCCTGCCCTCAAAGAGCTTACATTCTATGAAGGAGACAACATAGTTGATATTTATCTACACAACATTTTTCAAGCTGGCAGAGGGCTTTACGTTCATTATCTCATTGGAGTATTCCTTCCTTCCCAAAAGTGAGAAAGTGTCATCCCACTGGCTCCAAGAACCCATCTTTCATCCTCACTATGAGACTGGAGTCGGGTTACATACTCTTTCCCTGTAAGCTTCGATGTGGCAAAACTGCTTCCAGCCTTCGATGCTGTGTGAGTTAGTGACCTTTAGCTCTCTCCACAGCTGCTACCCAACCCATGGGAGAGCTCATTTATACCCACTCCCCTCCCACCACCTACCCCACCAACTCCACCACCCACCATGGTGGGACTTTTCAGCAAGTTTTCAGTTCCCCCTACTGACTCTCAAGGGGAAGAAAAACAGCAGAAGGAAAGAAGGGAGGGAAAAGCAGAGCAGGATTTTCCCTCCAGAGAAGCGAATGGACTCCACGCTCAGGACACTTCCCCTACCCCCAGCCAGATGCCCCCTGCCCATCATGGGCTTTTCTCAATCTCTCTCCTTCTTTTGTTCAGTTATAAAGTTATCATCAAATAATATTTATTACCCTCATCTCCAGAACAGCAGGGTGTGAAATTCTATACCAAATGGATTCAGTGCAAAAAGTATTTATTAAGCAACTACTATGTACAAGATGGCAGACATTGTAAGAGAGACAGAGAGAGACAGACAGAGAGACAGAGACAGAGGGAGGGAAGGAGAGAGAGAGAGAAAGAGAAGGAGAGAGAGAGAGACACAGAGAGAGAGAGAGAGAGAGAGAGAGGGAGGAGTAGGCTTTAGAGCCAGGAAGACCTGGGTTTCAAGTCCTGCCTCTAACACATACCCACAAATCCCTTAATCTCTCAGTGCTTTAGACAGCTCTCTAAAACTATAATGTAGTAGGGATTTTGTTGTTACTGTTCTTATTCAGTCATTTTTTCAGTTGTTTCCCATTATTTGTGACATGTTTTGGAGGTTTTTTTGGCAAAGATACTGGAATGCCTTGCCATTTCCTTCTCCAGCTCATTTTACAGATAAGGAAACTGAGGCAAACAGGGTGAAGTGCTTGCCCAGGGTCACACAGCTAGAAAGTGTCTGAGGTTGGATTTGAACTCAGGAAAATGACTCTTCCTGATTCCAGTTCCAGTACTCCATCCACTGTGCCACCTAGTACTTAGGGATACAAAGTTTTGTTTTGTTTTTTAATAAAAATAAGCCTTGCCCTCAATGAGCTTACATGCTACTATGGGGGTTCAACAGGTACATAGATAAGTAAGTACAAGAGAGGGAGCACAGAAGTAGGGGAGGGGAGGGCAAAGGGGACAAACAGGCAATCAGGGAAGACTTCATGGAGGAGAAGGTACCTGAGCTGAGCCTTGGAGGAAGTAAAGGATCCTGATAGGCAAAGGGGAGGATGAAGTGAATTCCAGGCATGGAGAGTGGGGAGTGGAAGGGGCAGTCAGAGCAAAGGCCTGGAGGTGGGAGATACTTATCATTTCCACTACCACCCCCTTTTATAAATGAATACATTGAGGATCAGAAGAGGAAAAAAATCACTGACAATGTCTGTGCTCCTCAGTTTCCTCATCTGTACAATAAATAACCTCTCAGGTCCCTTCCAGTTCTAGATCTATGAATAAAAACAATCTTCCAGGCTGGCAAAGTGCTTGTGGTGCATAATCTCATTTGTTCCTCTCAACAACTTTGTGAGGCAGGTGCTCTGAACATTCTCATTTGACAGATGAGGAAAAGAGGTCAGGAAAGTGAAATAACTCACCCAGCATCACACAGCTGTAAATATCAAAGGCTGGATCTGTACCCAGGTCTTTCTGACTCCAAGCCAAATATTGTTTCCACTACAATGCACTCAGGACCTGCCCCCACCTCACCCCCCAAAAAATTCTTTTCAATCCTAAAGCTAGGAAGCGTCTGAACTATAAACTCACCATTTGATAACTTCTGGTAGTAACTAATTATCTGTGCTAACGAGTGCTGAGTTCAGTTGTTTCTATGACCATCAAGTGCTTCCAAAGCTCTTTAAAAATATAAGCACTCTGGGATAAAGACCCTGTTGCCTCACCCTAGTTATGGCACTGACTTTAACCAGGTCTTCTGGCTCCAATCCCAGTGGCACTCCCGCTTCCCCACACTGCTTCTCATAAACATGGCTGATGTCACTCCACTGAGGGAGTAGGGGGTGGTACAACGGCTACTTAGTATGCTAAGCACAAGAAGAGAAGAAATTCTGGGAAACTTAGACTATGCTTTTTTATCAGGGGCAGAATTCCCAGGATCAAAGTTTCCCAGAGTTCAAACAATTCTCTTTCTTACCTTCCCCTTGGAGAAAGATAAGCAGCATGGTATAGTAGAAAGAGTCAGAAGAAATGGGTTCAAATTCTGCCTCTGAGGGGAACTACCTGTATAACCTTGGGCAGGTGGCTTAAATCACAGTGGGACTCAGTTTCCTCATTTGTAAAATGGGAGGAGAACTTGAACTTCAGATGGCTTCAGAAGTCCTTCTTCCCAACTGTATTTCTACAATCCCATAATTCTATATCCACCTCACAGACTACCTTGGCAAATGTCCAGTTGTCTCCATTGCTAGTTTTGTCCTGATTGGCATCTCTCACACACTACTGACCTGTCAGGCTAAAAGGCAATGAATTCTGGCTTCCATTCATCTGAGCCACCTTAAAACTAACCATCTGCGACAGTCAGGGAACTCAAAGGGCAACACCTGCACCACTCAGGCATTCAGTCATCGCCTCAAGGAGAGAGACAAGCTGGTAGAGCACATAGAATGCTGGATTTGGAGTCTGAATCCTGCCTCCAGACAACAGAGTCTCAGTTTGCTCATCTGTCAAGTGGACACAGTGATAATCTGCAGCACTCACTGTACCAGCCAAGGTCATTGCCAGAAGGGTCAAATATAATAATGTATACAAAGTACTCTGCAAAATTTCAATCAGATATAAATGCCAGCTCTGGTTAGTGTGTCCCACCCCCAAGGTCACTCAGTGTGAGCATAAGGTGAGATTTGACATCCACGGTAGCAAGTTTCCACTTTCAGTGAGTCAATCATTAAACATTTATTAATTGCCAACCTGGCACCATGTGCCAAACACACCATATGCTCAGCTCTGGAGATACAAAGAAAGGTTTAAAAAAAAGGAGCTCAAAGTCTAATAAGGCAGACAACATGCCAAACCTGCAGATGAGAAAGAAAGAGGGGACACACAACAGATGGGACAGAAGGGACCTTAATAAACAGCAAGACACTAAGTAACTGTCATCTGTCATCGTCCCCACTTCATCACCGGAATGAGCAATTAGCAAATCATCCAGGAAACATTGTGATGGGAGATTCGGTCAGCTACAAGGCAAACATCATTCCATGCTTTTATGTCTTCAGAAATTCTCCAGGTGACTTAAAACTAAAGATCTCTCATCCCTCAGCCAAAACCCGCCCTCATCTGCTTGA